TTCTAGAGGTCAGGTCAGGGGTTCGAATCCCGGCGTAGGCGAGGTTTTCTTGCAAAGTGAGTTTTCTCTCGCTTCCGCTCCTGGCCAAGTGGATAGCGCTAGTTCGTGTGTACACAGAGGGAAGAGAGTGCTGAACTCTTCTCGCATTAAAAATTGAAGGCGAAGTACCGCAGGAGGGGAGGGTAGAGAGAGGCTCTTCTGTGTGACCACGGGTTGGAATAAACGGCACTAGTGCTGTGAGCGCTGATTTGAAGTGAAGAACAAAAAAAAAAAAAAAGTGGGCAATGCCCATGGGTACCCATGGGTTCCCACGGGCAATGCCTATGGGTGCCCATGGGTACCCATGGGTTCCCACGGGCATTGCCCAAGGGTACCCATAAGTACCCATGGGTACCCATGGGTATTGCCCGTGGGTACTCGTGGTGACCCATGGTCACACACATGGTGACCCATGGGCACCCAAACTGATGATGCCTAACGCTAGCCCATGGTCGTCACCGTGGGTAGCCACAGGCACCCGTGGTGTTAACCGTGGGTAGCAATCCATTGGTATCGGTGGTGTAGCACCCTACGGGTGCCGACGGGTAATCATGATGATCACCACGGGACCTATTCGTCCCGACTAAGGGAAGACGAAACGTCTTGGAGCTTTGAAAACAACTAAACCCACCGTAGCTTTTAAATCTCCAACAAGTAAGTATGATGAAGAGACCTGCCCAAGGCCTCGGCGTGCGCGTGCACTGTACGAAACACGGGAGATGCGACAACGCCCTCAGCGTCGCGCCGTGGATCTGGGTGAGCCTAGCGCCGTGGATCTGGGTGAGGGCACACTGACGCCCTTTCCTCCACGCCCACACCAAGCCAGTTCGGTTGTTTTTTTTCGGCTTTGATACCTTCCTCTCTTTCTTTACATTCGTGCGCCGACTTGGAATAATGCTGGACTCACTAACTGCTGTGCTGTGAGCCTCCCACGGAACCTTGGGTGTACCAGCTCGCTGCGGCCGCGCCTTCGTCGACCCCGCCTAATCGATGTTATAGAGTACGCTTAATCTTGGTAGTACCCGTTGTGATCCCCGTGGTGGTGAAAGCCATTATGGTCCCCCGTGGGCCGTGGGTGGCCGTGGGTACCCATGGGTACCCATGGGGCGTGGGTACCCACCCATGGGTACCATGGGTACCCATGAGTATCCATGGGGCGTGGGTACCCATGGGTACCCATGGACACGAATAACGATAGTGTGTATGACTGAATAATCAATTCGTCATCTACCCTGCGACGATACGCGTCGTCCATAATAGCCGGAACGCTGCAGTCGCCACCACCACGCGGCGCCCTATGAACTACTGCATACTCTGGTGGAACCCATCTTCTTGCGAACGCTGAGATATGCCACCTGTGAATGAAGCATTGTACGCGTTCGCAGCCATTCATTGATTGGTCGACACCATATTATACGTTGGACACTACAGCAACAGCAACAACAACAACAAACAGCAGTAGATCGGATGGCGACGCGTCCACCTGACGACTATGGCCTAAATAGACGTACATGTACACATGCGAACAGTTGTTGTCCCAACTACACACAATTAATCCGATGAAAACTACCTGTCTGTGTTGTATGCATATAGTTGTCGTAAACGCCTTGACATCGTTGTCGTATGATCCCTCAACGATGTCTATATACATACATGCATCATCTATCTCCTTGCTGCAGAAATCAATCAACGAAAAATGGGCGATTCTGTGTACAACCCTCATCCTCGCGTCATCAGTATTTTTAGCGAGCGCCGAGTCTAAAGACCATTCGGGATTCGCCTCTCTTTTGATCGATAACTCTTGCCTCCCCCACAGCACTATTGTTTCCTGCTTTTAACCATTACATCTACTCGCGAAGCCCGGCAGCCTTACCGCTCATGCATGAATGGTGGCCGCCCGCCCTACATTGGGGGGCGGGGGGGCAATCGTTCTCCCTACTACGTACATATGTACATCATCCAAGATTTGGTCACTTTTCATGCCTCGGCGTTACCTTCTTTCGCGGCAGCGAGTCTTTTATCGCGGTTCCTTCTCAGGGGCACGCAGGAGGCTCGTCGGTACATTAACACCCGTGCCCGGAGCTCGATAGGCCTCCTCCGTGGCGCGTGTGGTTGACGGCCAAAGTTGCGAAAACTGGCTCGAAACCCGGGGACGCGTTCCGCGCTGAAGAAGCCTGGCGAACCATTTCTGAAACGGCACGGCTAAACACCCCACCGGTGGGGTAATTTCTTAACCACCCCACCGGTGGGGTGGTGAAGGCTTAAACACCCCACCGGCTGTATCTCGCTCTACAAGACTCCAATCAGCTCAGGACTTCAACGGGTGTGATGCTCCGTTGCAGGGCTATCATTGGACCCATAGTGAGGCCGAAACGGCACAGTTTTCGTGGTGCCACGGTTGGTGGGGCATATACCGCCGCTACCCCACTGGTGGGGTCGATAACGTTATTGACCCCACCAGCTGGATCTCCCTCTACAAGGCTCCAATCGATACACAACCACCTGTAGGGGTGTGTGGTCGATGCACGCACAGCGCACAGCAGCGGGCAGCACCTGGGGCGCCGAACAGGTCAAGAAATCCCGCCGCATGACGCCAAACACCCGAAGTGGGTAGCGAACACTGCCTTCTATTCTCTTGCAGGCAGACTTCCCCACTGCCGTATGTAGCCCTACAAGACTCCAATTAACACAAGACATGTACGAATGTATTGCTGCTTTGCAGGGCTATCGTGGGATCCATGGTGAGGTCGAACGCTAAAGGTTTGGTGGTGCCACGGCCGGTGGGGCAAACAACGCAATGCATAGTGTATGCCCCACCAGTCGGTGGGGTGGATAAAGCTCAACACCCCACCAGCGGTATCTCGCCGTACAAGACTCTAATCGAAGCACAAGCGCCATGGTTAGAGGGTGCTGTTCATGCACACACCGCGTACATCACACAGTACACAGTACACAGCACACAGCACACCGCACACAGCAGCTCTGCACCACTGCACCACTGCAGCAGACGCGGGGGGGAAAAAGTCAACAAATCCCTCCACAGAGGGAAATCTTGCCTTTCTCACTGATGTACAGTAGAATATCCACTGTTGTTTGAGGTATACACATGTATGCATTTCGTATCCGTTCCGTATATTGTTGCTGTTCCTTGCACGCACCATGTATTGGAAACACCATGCCCGTTAGTCGGCGCTCTCTTTTATGTGTGACGACGTGATATATTCTTAGTGTACTGAAGCCGCTATGCATACTAGACTACATCAAGTACGTAAATACGTCCATCATCGCTGCGCTGCAAGTAGCGATGCAAAAGTAGACGGAGCGCAAGCAGGAAGGTTGTTGCCCACAGGTTAAACCCGTTGGAACCTCCAGTTGCGGTCATGAGCGTTCGGTTGTGTCTCGCCACACGAACCAAGTAGTTCATGACGGATTGTAGCCAGCCGCAGCCAAGGCATGGCTCCCTGCTGTCCCCGATTTTTGGTGTCTCGTATATTCCAGGAACCCTCTTTCGTTACGCCGATTTCGTTACCCCCCGGAACACGGACATTCTAATATGCCCCCCAACTCTCTGAAAAGGACACGTGGGGAATACCGTGGAAATCGTGTGGATCAAATTCCAGTGCTGTTCTGCTACGCGTGTTTACTCCTCTTCGTCGACCGGCGCCCGTTGTTGAAATCCCTTATCCTCTTGGTTTGACGAGACTTTCCTTGCTGCCCCTCCGGGTTTCCGGGTTCCTCTTTGGCCCCCGATCGATGCTGAAGAGGTTGTCTTCTACCGTCCTTTTTCGGCCTCCCCTTCTTGGGAGCCTCTCCAGGATTTTGGACGCCTGTGCCTCCCGCGGACGAGTTGAGAAGATACCGGAGAAAGTCCCCAACCTTGTCCTGGACGGACAGCGCTTGATGCAGGGGCACGGACCTCATTACATCTCCTACAAGCTACTTGCTCTTCGCCATCAGATGGGCGTAGACTCGACGCTTGTCGGAAGCGCTTGTATCCTGCGCGGCGCGCCCCGGTTCAGCAGGATGTATGCCATCCACCGCTTCATCGCATGTCGGTCCCCAGTAGTTCTCGTCGCTGCCTTCGTCATGGCCGTCCCACCCTACGCTGTGGCCTGACGACGACAGCACCGATGAGATGCTCCACGGCGAATCTTTGCCATCTTCTCTTCGACGCCAACGGTTGTGGATACATGCGCCGTTGAAGGTATGGGTGAAGGACATCTCGTCGCTTTCGCCAGTTCTCCCGATGAGGTTGACAAGCACCGCAAAGTAGTGCCTACAAGGCAGTCCGCGCCGCAATAGCTGTAAACAGGAACATAAGTGGAAGTTGTCAGGTCCGAACACCACGAGGGGGCCAGGTCTGTTCGCCGTCCACTTGTATCGAACGGTCACGACCAGTTCGATAGGTACATCCGCGATAAAGCCAAGAAGGCTGACAGCGACGGTCGCGCCCACATAGTGTTGTCCACCGCAGCTTCGCCGGCTAACTGGTCTCCCTCGAGATCGGTATCAGGTGGTGCGACCTGAAGAATGTTGAGCTTGAGGCGCAATGAGCGAATCTTGGCGAGGTCGTGCTCATCGAGAGGCAGCGGGTCCCCATTCTCGTCCTCACGACCTGAATTCACCAACTCGGTGTCATACGACTGCGCTTCGCCGACCTGCGCTCTGACCTCCTGCGACAGAATGAGGTTCGACAGTACGAAGATGTGTTGGATGGGGTTTCAGTTTGACTGGATGGTGTCTGCTTGTGCTTAAGCTTGGTATACCACGGACACACCATCGCACGAATTCAACAGCGGCAACGATCCATATACCAAAACACGACTCACTTGCTGGCAGTACTGACTAGCACCACAGGCTAGGAGCTCCTGCTTCACGGGTCTGAAGAAATTCTCCACGTGGATATCCCGGAAGGCCACGCCAGCGGCAAGGGGGGGTGTTGCTAACCTGCATGCATGGCATCAAAAGCACTGTTACATAATGTTTAACGGCGGGAGAAATCCGCACACAATGTCTATCCACCACCAGTGTGTGTAGCTGCAGGTAGAGACAAACTCGCGTGTTGTGGAGCACATCGGAATACCCCATAAGTCGAAGCACGCGGATACCACCTGCTGCCATGGGTGACGAAAACAACAGACAAACTCACCTCACAGTCTATGGCAATCATCTTGCTGAGACGTTGCAGGCGATCCCAAAGAGCGCACAGAGATAGCTTCTTGTCGACGCCCGAGCGTTTCGCCACCCCGAATAAACCTTCCGTGCGCTGAGTAGCAACCATGCCTAGCGTGAGGACAGCGGGCCGGCAGCAGAACGCCCACTTGGCCTTGTTCCTACGACGGTTTACGACGCGGGTACCAGAGTGAATTAGTGAATATCGAGTGTAAAGACGCGGCATCGATGGCTCAAGCCAGGGCATAATGACAGCATTACGGCGCTTCCTCGAAGTGTACGGAGGGAAGTTACTCACTTGATCAAGTCCGCTATGTATCCTTCGCACTTCTTGCCGGCCACAAGTTGCTCCAACCGGGCCACTTGGGTCGCAAACACCTGCCACCGAAGGCAGTGGTAGACACAAGACACGCCAAAGGTTATGTTTACCGCTCGTTGTGGCGGGGCGAACGGGTGGGATAGACCAATGCATTCTCGCGGGGCCGTCATGTGGCGGCAACCTACGAGTGAATGCCATCGTACCTCCGGGGTAGCTGCATCAGCTGCGTTTCTGAAGCAACGCATCATGTCGGTCTTGTCGTCATTGTTAGCAGATGATGACGAGAAGTTCTTGAGGACGTTCTTGAAGACGTGCCACAAGCAGTGCAAATGCAGCGTCCCTGGCCAGCAAGAGGCTATTGCAGCCGTCATTGCAAGATCAGCGTCGGTCAAGATCACCTGTGGAAAAGGGTAAATGTACTTTGTCGACGGATGGGATAGGCAATGGACGGTGCGGTTATGTCGACAGCCACTAGGCAAGCTCTTCTGCGTCTGCAGTACAATGCCTCAACAAATATAGACGTCTATTTGTTCCTATCGCGAAGCGACTTTTTATTGTACATCATCCTGACCTCGTTCTACATGTACGCCATGAATGAGTGTTGCGAACATCGTAAGAGGGTCACCTTCGGCTTCGGCCCACCGGCAGCGGCCTCATGTCTGTTCAGGATCCATTCGAACATCTCCGTACACTCAAGACTGCAGAAGGCCCTGCCCCAAAATGCAGCTGCGATTGTCGTCGTCGACGCCCACGACGAACAGAATAGGGCACCCGTACCTACAGACAAACAATCAGTCCGAGTTACATGACGCGTTGATACTTCTCCTTGCAGCACCAAATACCCCGACCATACACGACGAGCGTGGATTTTAAAGGGCAACCATGAGCAGCGTAGCGTAACGAGCGGTCCCACATTTGCTGTGGAGACATGCAACCTGTCGAAGGGGGTATTAGGTGCACCTGTTCGTGAACACCGTTGTATCCAGCTGTATGTAGCCCCCAAATCTTGCAATCTGTTCTTGCTGTTGGACGGTAGCCCAAAACACATCCACCAATCGTCCCTGGGCATCCAGCGTGTGATCGCAGTACATGCCAGATTCGCTTTTCGACCTCCCTCCTTGGCAAAGAAGGCCGCCACCGAATTCAACAAGCAGTCGCCGTTGCCCTCGCTCTCGAACGGAGTGCCCACGCCCCCACCACCTTCGGGTTCGATCCCGTTAAGGAGAGCCGCGGTGAACTTGACCTTAAACAGGCCCTTCGCCAGAAGCTCCTTTGCGGTCTGGACGGCAATCGAGGAGGATACATTACGGCCATAAATTATCGAGTTTATCGTCAATGTTGAGAAGATTACGTTAATGAAGCTGATCATGAATTAATTATGAAACGGAGAGCGTACATTTAAGTTCACCATGCTTACATTTACGCTGTCTACTCCCCGCATGAAACCAGCGACACATACATATGTATGGAGCACGAATGGCCCAGCAGAGCAAAACAATATCTACCTACCAGATGGAATTAACCATGCTGCTACGAGCAGATCATAGTTCAATCTTTCCGATACGAGGCTGCTACCCCATCTCCATACAACAACGTCGTGCACATGTTTTGCAGTGCGGTTTTGCGGTCCGTTTGCGGTCCGTTTGCAGTCTGGTGAAAAAAACAAAAACCTTCGTCGATCATTGCGCCTGGAGCATCAATCATGAACCCGACCTTAAGCACACACCTGAGATGCATCTGGCAGCAGTTCGCCGTCAATGGGATCTTCCTGCTTGGACACCCACTCCGTCACCTTCTGCAGCCTCTCATCTTCGACAGGTATGCCACTCGTGTCAGGAGAAGACGGGTGGAGGACAAAGTCTAGCATCCCACGGACCTTTGCCAGCGCCTAAAGCTGAGAGTTCGCCATGGATGTTGCCGGTGATATGCGCTAATAGATACGCTGGCGTATTGAATGGGCCCGGGTTCGGTGCTGATACGCTGGAGTGATCGCCCCACAGAAAACGATCCCAGCGACCGCAGGTTCGCAGGTTTTCACCCATGCGGCCAAGCGGCGGGATTTTTGCCCCACCCTCCCCCTTTTGTGACGTGTGTCTAGCCTGCTGTGGTGCAGTGGTGCAGTGGTGCAGAGCTGCTGTGTGCGGTGTGCTGTGTGCTGTGTGCTGTGTACTGTGTGATGTACGCGGTGTGTGCATGAACAGCACCCTCTAACCATGGCGCTTGTGCTTCGATTAGAGTCTTGTACGGCGAGATACCGCTGGTGGGGTGTTGAGCCTTTTATCCACCCCACCGACTGGTGGGGCATACACTATGCATTGCGTTGTTTGCCCCACCGGCCGTGGCACCACCAAACCTTTAGCGTTCGACCTCACCATGGATCCCACGATAGCCCTGCACAGCAGCAATACATTCGTACATGTCTTGTGTTAATTGGAGTCTTGTAGGGCTACATACGGCAGTGGGGAAGTCTGCCTGCAAGAGAATAGAAGGCAGTGTTCGCTACCCACTTCGGGTGTTTGGCGTCATGCGGCGGGATTTCTTGACCTGTTCGGCGCCCCAGGTGCTGCCCGCTGCTGTGCGCTGTGCGTGCATCGACCACACACCCCTACAGGTGGTTGTGTATCGATTGGAGCCTTGTAGAGGGAGATCCAGCTGGTGGGGTCAATAACGTTATCGACCCCACCAGTGGGGTAGCGGCGGTATATGCCCCACCAACCGTGGCACCACGAAAACTGTGCCGTTTCGGCCTCACTATGGGTCCAATGATAGCCCTGCAACGGAGCAGCACACCCGTTGAAGTCCTGAGCTGATTGGAGTCTTGTAGAGCGAGATGCAGCCGGTGGGGTGTTTAGCCGTGCCGTTTCTGAAACCTATTAAAGCCATCAAATACGACGGTTTGAAATATTTGCCTCTTCTTGCTTCTCCACTCTCAATTCGTTCTTTCATTCATTCATTCGATGATTCATGGCTGGCTGTGACTCTTCGTGTCATCGCGTTGTCCAGCAACAGCACCTAACAACATATTCGTGAAATTGAGAGCCAAGCATGAAATTGAGAGTGAGATTATTTATTGGAAGATAGAATAGAACAGGCGTACGATTCCTGGAGAGCCAAATGTATACTGTGTTGAGTAGCTTTGTGCGTGGGTGCCTCGGCGCGGGGTCCCGTAGTGGGAAACAAAAGGTGCCAGCAGCTGGGTACTGCCAACGGTCAAAATGTAGAAACTATCCGCGGGCGTGAAAGCCCTTCTACGTGGTGGAGCGTGGAAGCTCGTGTATAATATAGTTGTGGCGTGGAAGCCGGGTGGCGTGGTGGCCCTGATGTAAAGGTATATGTAGGGACGTGGGAGTCCTGAAGGCGTGGAAGCCGGGTTGGCGTGATAGCCGGAGTATGGGCGTGGAAGCCGGGGTTGGCGTGAGAGCCGGAAAAAGGACTTGATTATACACAGAAAAAGGAAGTGAGGAACCACAAGCCACGCACACAAATTCCGTTGTAGACACCCATACCCTCAAACCTGCAATATGTGATAAAGTTGGTACCACCAAATCTAATCCATAGCAACCATTGAACCCCCAAACTCCCCGCTCCATCTGCTCGGGAAATTCTTGCTCGCAATAATCTGTTGATGCTATGAGTACATCCAACAGCCCCCCTACTCGCTGCATTGGCAAGATTACACCCGGACTCATTTAACTACCTTACACATGCATACCCTCTTATACCAAATACCTGAACGCAAGGCTTAGTGATTAACATTCCATCCATCTCATGCTTCGTCTTCGCCAAAACACCATGACCATTAAACCCGAAACAAAACTCGTTAGAACTCCAACCGGTTTGAAACTCTTCTCCTAACCATTAAACCAGAAACACTGCAGAGATTATCCATCGGTCACCCTGGAATTCAACATCGTAGAAAATCCTCAGAAATAGCAATTCAATAGAATCGCACAAACGCAAAAAAACAAAACAAAAATAAAGACTCCAGGACTGCTCATTTAGAATTTCAATCGGATAGAAAGTATTCCCAACCAACCATTAAAACAGAAATACCAAATATAATGTCAATCGGCCATTCTTGAATTCAAACTCGTAGAAAATCAACTCCTCATATACTCAAATCGAAAGAATCACACAAACAAAAACACAACACAAAAAACTCCGGGACTGCTCAATTTTAGTCATCACGTAG